AGTAGACACATTGGGCTCCGTTATGCCATTTGGCTCCTCAATGGAGTCACACGGCAATCAGTTACCAGCAGCGAAGCATTAATAGTTCTGCATTCACTGTGTTGGGTGCTTGAGAAGAGCCAAGCAGGCCACCGAAAAACTCAAACTGGACCCTGGCTGTAGACGGAACAAATCTTCTACAAACAGTTGGACAAAGAGAAATGCTCTTGTGTTCCACCAACACCGTGATTTACATTCGAATAATTCTAGTCATGTAAGAGTTTATATTGAACTGTCTAACAGTTCTTTCAACCAGATAGATAGAATTAGATAGAATAATCTAATTTTTGGTTAACCTCTTTCCTGGATATAATTATAGGATGCACACTCCAGGGGACCGTAAATTTAGGAATCCAAATGGCAGTTGCTGAATGATTGGTAGGTTTGAACTATGCGGACATTGCCCGGCTTGAAGAAGGGTTATAACATGGAGGCGTGAAATGAAAACTGGTACAGTCAAACTCTCCATCTAGTGCTTGATGTATGGCTACCAACATGGACAATGAGAATGGAACTGTTTAAGCGATTTCTCGTCGTTTTTCGGCCGAAGATGAATTTTTCAGTGTGGTTTAGATCACATTTTATCACATTATCTTATCGTTCAGCTGTAGCACACTTCCGGTGCCTAGCTGCCGTGCCAGCCGAAGGAAGAACCAGGGCTGGAATACTGCCAAGTTGCCCATACTTAGACAGGAAAAAGTCGAGAGGCAGAGGTCGGGTTCGAACCATGGACCTCTCAGTCAGTAAATTCACGCTCTAGCCATCTCGCCTACAGTTTTGTGGTGAGGTTTACATTAATTGTTATCAATATTAGGCGAGAATTAGTGACAAAACAATCAGATGTAGGAATTTCCCGATTCGCAGCTGCTATTCGACCCGAAGGAAGCAGCAAGCAAGGCTGTCCAAGACTAGAAGAGTTCAGGGCGAAGTTGGTATTCGACAACGCGCCGAGCAACAACGGAGTGTGCTTTGGCTACCGGTTACTGCAGGCAAGTGATTATACGGTTTGACGCTAATTTAGGTGGTATTAGCCGGTCCATTTGGCACTCCCACAGTTACAAGCGCGACAAGTACGCGTTGCTTACAGCGGATGATGATGATGATGGTGATTTGACATCATGATCGCTAACAGTACGCTCAAGTCCACAGTATTTTACGTAAGTTCAGTACGAGCAGATGGTCACTATAGAGAAGCAAATATGCTTCTGACAAGAAAGCTTCATGCTCCTGCCAAAATTCCTCGCACGCTAACTGATTGTCGTTTTTTGCCTTCCAGGGGATGAACTCATTGATTTCCGAGAAGTGGAATTATTCCTTCAATTCTATGAACTGTTGCCTTGAAGTTACGAATCCGAGTGAAAACAGATAAACTAATTGAAATACCTATCATTTTGCGCTCCAGCACTTCCATAGCTTAATTACATTGAAACATCACATTACGCCGATCTGCTGCATTCACTATCACTTTTTATGCGTAAAAATAAGTCATATATTGCGTTTCTGAAGTCAGTTCTGGCCAGACTGAGTTGCACAGACTTTCCAAACAGCACAGCCGAGCTAACCTGCTGAAACGAAACAAATAATAAAACTAAATATAGTGAAGTACTGGACGGATAAGCCACGGCCACGATACAAAAATGTCTCCAAACATTGTACGGCAGCAAAGCATTGGTGTTGAACACTGATGTCATGCTGTCGATGATGATGGTGGTGAAATGGTGGGAAATCACGGCGGTTCACTCATGCACCCTCTTGAACGTTAATCGTATTTGGGTATATGGACTGCACGCTTGTAACTACTGTAAAGATCGCCTACAAGTACGGAGTTGCGCGCCCAATCTGAGAAAGTTGTGAATTAGAAATATGCAGCTACACTAACGAAGATATGTAAAACTGGCAAGGACCGGACATAAGGAGTAGATAGAAGAGTATACCCTTTTGTTTGATCACGTATGCTGACCTAATTCAATCTACAACTTTTTCCCAAATAAGCATGTCCACTTATTGTTTCGTAACGTGCCCCTATGGAGTTGAGGGGGTTTAATGGGGACGTTGGCGTCCCAATAGAAGTCCGTAAATCCCATGTGTTCCACCCTGTGATAGGAAACCTAAAGTGCGATGCCCTCTTCAGGGAATGTTAGTTTCACTTTGGATCATCATTGGAACTCTCAAGTGGGCACTTTACCAAGATAGAAAGTGCCGGGATGTATTCGGATAAAAAAGGTGTAGATCCATTGCGCTCATTCACATGAGGAAGAGATGAGAGGTGCTTAGGGTTGATAATATCAACCGCATGGACGAAGAAGCAATTGTGCATAGTACGGCATTACTGTTTTACCCTGCTGAAACTCATCGCTTGCCGGACAAACGCAATTGATCATCGCGCGTTGATCCATTCATCGTAATCACCAGCTGCTTTGCGGTGATTCTGACTACCATTTTCTTTCGCTGATTACCGAGGAAATAAAGCTGAATGACTGTGCATTGGTGACAGTGGCTGGAAACGTTGACGAGTGTAAGCTGTAGAATCCCTCAGGGGAAAACACATACTCCGAAATTGATAACTTGGAAGCATTGCGCAATTGAGAGTACCACTCAGCCAGTTCTTTAACATGTCTAACCCCTGTTTTATGTATTCTCATAGTCTGCATCCAACGAGAGAGTGAGAATAATGACCAGTAGGCCGAGTTTACTGCTAAAGGCTATCACACCTCGCTGCCAAGTAATTGTTGGACCTCCCCTGACTTGTTACTGCCCTCTGAACGGCTGAGCGAAGAAGCCTTTCGGACGAAGTGCAGCCACTGACACACGAGGCACATCACTAAACCAGTGAATCCTGTGAAGTAATTTTCAGCTGCAGTACCCTTTCGGTGGCTAACTGCCAGCAGAAGGAAGCACGAGGGTTGGGATGTTGCCACGTTGTCCAGGCTTAGACGGGGGAAGTCGAGGTCGGATTCGAAACGCGGACCTTCCGGTCAGTAAATTCACCCTCTAACCACTGGGCCATCTCGCCATGAGTTTATTTACCGCATGCGAGTTATCTCTCCCGAAAACCAGTCCGCCCGTTCCAGCGTTACTGATTCAGTGTTCGCACCATTGAAAATACCGATGATCAAAGATGAAGCATGTTAATGTTCCAGGTCGTCATGACTGTTTCTGATTTATACAAGAATAGGGAAAATTGCAGAACTGTATACTCGAGCCTTGCCAGGTGGGCTAACGGCACCTCTACGCTGTAAGTTAGCTAGAACCCTTCTAACAATGTTATATCTATCTACACTACCGGGAGTTAAACAGCTACCCAGGTAAACAAAATCTGCCTATCACCTGAATCACCCCAAAGCTCGAGTTTTGGGTTCGACCTTATCTGGTTTTGCAACGGTACTTTACAAGCTGCAGATGTGGAGCGCACCCCGAACCGGAGCAAAAGAATCCAGGCATTTGATGGTACTTTAATTTCAATGGGCTCAAAAAGAGGGAGCCTTCCATGATCACATCGATAACAAAGTTGAATAAGAAAAAGAGGCAGTGCGCATTCTTCTGTGACCAACTGGATGTAGTGAACGCAGGTGATAGTTAAATAAAAACCTTCAAAGCGGGGTCAAAAATTTATGGGTTACTTCTGCACCACAGACAATGCTGTATCGCTATGCTAACCGTATTTTGCACTATCGATTAGTTAACCATGGGTAACCAAGCTCCGTAGGGAATGTAACACAAATGCACTCACTATACTCTTGTAGACTAAGCTGTTCACACACAAGTATGGCCGTAAGTAGCAAGCGGCACTGATAGCAGCACCGGTGGGAGAAACTGATCATTATCTGCTGTGGCAAGACATTATATATATATATATATNATTATTTTCGGTCACCTCACCTGGAAGTACCAAGCTGTCCTGAGATTCCCTTTACGAAAAACTTGAAGAACCTATGACTCTCCGCTGATCACGAGATTCGGTTGCGTCCCAGATGAGTCTCCAGTGAAAACCAAATTGGTATGCAAATGAGTGTGTAAGTAGAATTTCGTGCCATTCGGGGTCAATTGGAAAATAAGTTTGACGGAAACTCGGGAAATATGCCTACCTAATGAACCCCAAGAGAGGTGAAATCGGTAGTGGGCTATGGGAGAGTCTTCAGAGCAATGTATTACGTCTATACAAAGGATCTAGCTTCGTTTTAAGACGTGTACATAGTGTCGTTTCAAATAGGGGGTGACGACCGTGAATGCACAGAATGCAGAACGGTTCCTAGCGAAAATAGTTATTCGCTGATGGATGAGAATTTTCACGGTGCGATTAGGCGAATGTATTGCAGGGCACGGTGCAAGAAAACATGCTGGGTTTCGTTAATCACGTCCGTGGACAAACAGAGTCGCGCTGGACCAAGTGTTTCGATGGGAAAAATTCGGACAGAAATCCAAGAGCTGGACCGCGCCACTGGCTGTCTGCCAACACCGTACACCGACTAACACTATACTTGCTTCATGACATTGGTTGTCTACAAGGCATCGAAAATCAAGCCAGTTCTCTATTGTGTTGAAATAGGTAGGCTCCTGTCTAACCCAAGTTTAACAACCTTGTGGAAAACCTGCGCAACGAAAACGTATGGCGAAACCAGAGCCACCCGTTCCACCTAATACAGACAGCTCGCTAGCACCAAACCTTAGTCTCTCTCTATAAGACGCCCACAAGAGCGACCAACATAGGTCATGAGACACAGCAGCATGCCGTGTTGCAGGTACGGTACTCTGGTGGAGAGAAGATTGACGTGAGGTAAATAAATTGATGCAACGGTACACAACCCGCTGCGCATCAGTAACTCTTTCTGACAAAAGATATAACAGACAAATCTACCAGGTCGTATACAACACAGCACAACTATGAGCCACCGACAACACACATTACGTTTTGACGTCTGATGAGTGCCCTAGTATAACGCAGAACGAAAGAACAAATATCGGAAAATTATATTGCAGATAAAACTTATTTACAGTGGAACACATTAACGGCGTGACGTGTGGTGTTTTTTGTGTTTGGATCGCTTGCGTTCAGGAGACTCATCTCGCTCACGAGGCACAGGCGAATGCGAATGCCTTGAGGATGAATCACGTGAAGATGAAGATTTATGGGAGCGCTCCTTCGGCAATGCGTAAGCAGAAGGCGGAGAACGCATTCGCCTACGAGCCTGCAAGAAATAAACACCCATTAGCTCTCTGTGGCAGGCGAATCAGAAAACAAGCAATCGGAGGCTGTAAGGCTTACTTTGACTTCTGCTTCCAGAGAGGCTAGCGACTCTTCGTGACGTCGTTTTAGGCTAGCCACGACAGCATGAGCTACGGCTGCAGGAACAGAATCTGGTGCGGGAGGAGGCGATGAGCTGACACTGAGAGCGCTCATGCTGGCACAAGGTCGCATGGATGAGTGATCGGAACGACTTGCAAATGACACGCTAGCCGAGGATGCACCTGTTCGAAGTTGTGCAACAAGTTGCGCAGCACGTCTTCGTCGCTCCTGACGCAGGCGCTCTTCTGTCCTGCTCGATTTGCGATTGTCTGGTGAATGTGACGCTTCGACGGTATCTGTAGAAAACACAAGACCATACAATTGAATGCTGCTGTTAGAGGGAGCTTTTCCTCTGAAAAGGCGACAACCAGAGTTGCAAAAGCGGGAAGTCAAGCTTAAAAAATGGAGTAAAGATTAAACAAGGTAATCACTCACCCAACATACACTCAATCGCATTAGAACCTAGAGGCGGTGTACGCGGACTGGATTTGACCTCGGACTTGACATCTGGCGAGTTCGCTGGTGATGGTGGACTGTATGGACAGGGGATATCGGTGCGAGGATACAGAAGAGGATTGACTTTTGGCTCTTCAGATAACTTTCGTTCACGAGACGGCTTTGAACGTTGCTTGTCCTTCAAAGATTTAGCTTTGACAACAGGAGAGGGCGGGGAACTCGCAAGCGAACGCTCTGGACTTGATCCTGATGGAGAGCCAGATCGCGAAGACGCTGGAGAGGCAGCGCTGGAGCTGGATGCACTGGGAATTCCCGGGAGACTGAATCGTACAGGAGACTTAGAACGATCGCGATGGGAGCCGGCGGAGCCTGAAGCATCATCATCTGACGCGACAGAATTCATCGGGGTGGCGGGTCTAGCCGGTGAGTTATACTCTTTACCCAAAGCTGGACAACTGGATGTCAAACCACACTCAGTCGGAATGCTCGAATGAACATATACACTGGGTGGGGCTGCGTCTCCATTAGGATGAAGCTTTGTTGAGCTGCAAGGCTTCATAAGTTTGAAACTAATGCTTGATTGACGGTCGCTGATCATGTCCGAAGGTGAATCCGAGGGCTTCGTTTCAGACACCAAAGGACCGAGTGCTAGAGAAATACATAACCATAATAAATAACAAGGTCTCTGAATTGCAACAGCATGCGAGTACACATAGTAAATTAGGCAAACGAAATCGAGAAGTGCTCCGTAACAGCTTGAGATAGATGGGGTTCTGGTAACGCGGTGCAGACACCGCAATATCAAGTCTGTTACATGAGTTGTATTACTTATTATCTGTGGGTTAACCTATTTCTATCTATTTCTACCAGCAGTAAAGCAAAACAGGTCAGGTTGAGGCCTCTCAATTCTCGTGAACATCATTCAAGCGAGATCCAAACACAAATGGTTATCTGGCGAAAATGTATACCTTCACCAAATATGTTGATAAGTATTAATTCCGTCTTCTACTGCATAAACAGACATCTATTATCTCTTTGCTCGCCCGATAAGCAGACTGAAAAAAAAGTCAGTCGACGAACAGCACTGTTCTAAAATAGAGTGGCTAGTGTATCACCCTCATGAGATGATGTTAATGAACCAAGGAGGAATTGCACGAAAAGTAGGGGTCGATAATCCGATGTTTTCAGGATTCCACAATGTGTGGAGTAACACGAACGCGGAGCCGAACTTGCCAAGTAAGTGGACTTATCACAGAAATGGTGTTTTTTGTATGCATTGTCCCCTAGATCATGCTTGGATATTATTTTAGCAGACAATGGAATGCGAAGGTATTAGGACACGCCAACAGTGTCTTACTGTGAAGGCCCACTCCAGACTGTAGATCGAGTAAGACTGGTACTCTAGACCCGCAGGTACATGGTCCATCCTTCATAACCAGCTAGTGTCTAGACAGAGAAACTTCGTGGTATTTCAACGTCCGTTTCCCATGGATTATATGGCACCTGACACTGAAAGAGCGCTGTATTTCTGAGGAATCTGCATTTAACCTTATCCATTCACTGGACTTATCACAGAAATGGTGTTTTTTGTATGCATTGTCCCCTAGATCATGCTTGGATATTATTTTAGCAGACAATGGAATGCGAAGGTATTAGGACACGCCAACAGTGTTCTTACTGTGAGGCCCACTCCAGACTGTAGATCGAGTAAGACTGGTACTCTAGACCCGCAGGTACATGGTCCATCCTTCATAACCAGCTAGTGTCTAGACAGAGAAACTTCGTGGTATTTCAACGTCCGTTTCCCATGGATTATATGGCACCTGACACTGAAAGAGCGCTGTATTTCTGAGGAATCTGCATTTAACCTTATCCATTCACCTCTTTCGACGGGAAAATGGTTATGGTGCAATGAATAGCCGATGTCCAGCACTGGTGTCGTCATTATAATATGTCGCCACGTCCGTTCCATAACACCATAACTGAAATAGGAAAATCTAAAAAAAACTAAGACCTATGTACATACCACCTATTTTGTTATCATTATTATTAGTGATACATGGGTCAATAAGTCGCAGACACATGGATATTGTTTATGAAGGTATGAGTTTGATGTGCACTGCATGTTGAACGTTATAAAAATCGGCAGGTCATTTAGTGTGCGCAGAAACAGGTTGGGTTGAGAGACATGAATACTTCTTTCAGAGACCCATTGAAATCGGAGTTCATCTACCAGTGAGAATCCGGTTTCCTCTAGTGAGCCGGGTTTAGGTTGAATACGCAGCAGAGCTGCTTCGCCCATTACCTCCAGTGAAAGAACGTACCAGTGGCCTGTTGTGATGGTGCTGGCGTTTCGGTTGTATCTGAGTTAGAATGCGATGTCGCCGCGGGAACCAGTTTGTCCGCGTCTGAGTCTGGTAGATCCGGTAGGAGTTGTCTCCGACGAGTCAGGTAGTATGAATGATGTGGATGGTTCGGTCTCAAGAACGCGAATCGGGCATCTCCTCCTTTTTGGCGAGTAACTAATTCTTCAAACTCAATACCGTTGCGAGCCACGTATTCAGCCATCTTGTCGATTATCCCACGTTCCCCAGGAGTCATTGTTACACTGCACAAACGGGAAAGATAGAATTCCAACAAAGTTTTCTTACAACGTAGGGTGTCAAAATTAGGATAAAAATGCCAGGCGAAGAAGCTAACAGCCGAACCGACACTTTATGTGTTCGCCCTAGCGCACATCAAACAATGGACCCAAAAATGTCGACATGATTATGCGTAGCGCTGATCAGAACTGCTGCTCATTACACAAACAAGTTATGTAGAGATCGAACTGTTGCCACCAAAGCCAGTTGCAATGGTTACGGAATCTAGTCGGGAAAACCATAGTGGTCAGTGTGGTAACTGCAGAGCCTAAAGTTAGTGATTTCTTATTCAAACGATATACCTGCAAGGGAGTGAGGAGGAGGGAGGACAGTAGACCTGATTTCAAACAAGTACCGGAACACCAAAATAACAGTACCTCTGTACTGGCAAACAAGATGTGACGCTAAAAATTTGAATACGCTTCCAATATAAAGGTACCAGATTTCATCAAACATTAGTAACTTAGTTTCCCAACAGTAAGTGCGTCATTTTAGGATATATATTTATCTATGGCTGGATGACATCCAGTATGAATCTGCCGGTGAACAGTGACTAATCTGCTGAACGTCTGAGAATAGTAGATAAATCCCAAGCGGTTTGCTACGTGCAAGCCGCTGATATCAACAATAACCCGGGGCAGCCACGCAGATGCTTGTTGAAAGCCGTCAACCTGGATAAGCATCCCCGACGCACACGTATAGCGTCCATCAGTGTTAAATTTGGAGGATGCAAGTGTCAGTCACCTCTAGAACTATTGTAAGCATATCAGATATACGGACACAAACAACCATGCTGTCCCCTGGGCCAGCTCTTGGAGAACAGGGAGGTCAACACTTGTGTCATACCAGCACTTTATTCAAAAAATGCTGGAGATGAGTTGCTCGACTTTGGACCTGGACTGTGGCCAGGTAAGTCAGCGGATGATCTAGCCTAACGGGCGAAGAAGTAGTTAATAGTACAAAATGAGGTAAGGATTGCTACTGAGCCTCAGTTCCTGGCTTATTTCTGTAGATCATGTACAGGTGTACCATCCGCTTCAAACAGTTCCGCCAGCAACTGTGCGGCCATTACCGATAACAATGGTGATGCAGAAGAGCTTATGGGGCACGGAAAAGGGAGAGTACTGTTGACCATGAAAACGTTGTGATCCGGGCGAAAGCACAACAGTTCGCGTTCGAGTTACCAGCTTATACCAAGAAATCGAGCCTTTGTACTCTGAAAGTGTCTGCAAGCGCCGGTGAAAAGTGTCTTTAATGTTGCCCAGCCAACTCCCTGGGGTGCGTGTAATCACAGACATGCTTGCTTCGTTAACTTATGTTCGTTCAAAACGCACATACAAGTCTCACCGTACAGAGAAAAAGCAAGTGTAATCCACTTGAGCAGAACAACCTACAGCTTTACGCAAAACAATACGAGCATCAGCATGTCCCACAGCGAGGGCACAGCTGTCTCTCGAGCGGTGCATGCGGAAGTACCTGGAGGGGTCGGAAAGCTAGACTAGAGAGAACACAACATATGAAAGTTGAGTCTCGGGAAGGCAGTAAATGCCAGTTCCAGGTCGAGTTCAAACACACACTGAAAGTGCATGAAACGCGTCAATTCAAGGTTATCGGGAACTAATTTATCCCATACTTTTGGGAAATACACCTAAGGCTTACTATCAAGCGTCGCTACCTATTGGCTGGTGATCCGTTGGAAGTGCTGGGTAAATAGCTTGTAAACCAATCGTGGAAACATCACCAGTGCGGTGGGATGATGAAATTCTCCTTACCTGCTAGCGTTCATAACGTTTAAGGACAGCTTATTTATAGTTTCATTCATCCGTCTGTGATTTGAGTTGCGGTGTGATGTGTATTCTCGTACCCAATGAACCAACGGAATGTAAGAAATACGGACCACATGACGACACACCGTGAATGGAGAATGAATGAAGTGACGAGATGGCTGTCTCTCTATTGACCAATCACATCAAAATATATCAGATACCAGGAGTCATTTATGAGCTTTATAGCCACGAGCGCGCAGAAAAAAGCACCCATACGGATGCGGATTGATGGCGTCTTCCGAACTGACCAAGCCAATTACCAAGCTGAGTGGACAGCTCCACAGACACCCGAACAAACAACAACTAAGCTACACCATCACTGCACTTTTAATCAACCGAAGGAAGAAAGTAGTGAAACTTACGTCATTGACTGGTTAGTTTGTGCACTTTTTTGGACCAATTTGGCTTGGTACATGGCATTCACTGCTGCGGAAGCCGCAACTGCGGCCGCCTTCGCCGCTTGTTGAACAATGGCAGCTCTGTGTTCATCACTTATGGATGTGCCGGCACGCAAGACCATTTTGGCTTGTTGATCACTAAATTGTGTGTAGTAATGGGAGTAATAGTGCTTGTAATATTCTTGATAACATTGCTCATATTCTTCGGCAGAAGATTGAACATCTGCAGGGTTTTCGTGGGGTTTAGTTGGAGCGACCGAGTCATCGTTAGCGGGGTTTTGTGTGCTTGTATCGGCGGACTGGGAGCCTTCCGCATTCTGTGGTGGAAGGGGTCTCCGATCGGCGGACGGATCTGCACCAATCTCATCGGTAGCGGGTGGCGTTGCTGTGCGTGGCTCAGAAGAACACGATTCCTTGGTAGGTAGACTAGATGGACTTGGTTGAATTGCAGCTGCAGCTTGTGCTTGTGATGCCCTGAGAAAATCCGTGACAAGGAACGTGATAGACAGTATGCGCCACACTGAGAAGGCTCCACTAACCTGCCTTCATTGAATGACGTTGAGTGCGTAAACAACGCCACTCAGAAGCGGTTGTTGCAGGAATGCGGGATAGTTAACAATAATGGCAAAATCACAATTTAACTTTTACTGATCCGCAAAGTGCGACAAAGCCTCTGAG